AGGGGAGTTTCCGAATTCGCTGACCATCTCCAATTTCCCCAAAGTTGAAACAGGCTTGCGGCAAATGATAGGCCACATATACTGTAGCCACTTTTGATGGAACATACTGGTCATTTGACCTCAGATCATCTACCCCAGTTTCCCCATCTGGGGTGGCCATGGAGCGTGATACGCCAGTGCACGTCCCAGGTGAAGCGCACTGTAGAGCGCGAGTCGGAAAACCGAGTCGGGATGACTGATGGGATGACCATTGCCATCGGTCCATGGTGAGGATATTCTTAGAAAGACTAGGCTGTCAACCCTGGATTGATAAACCCCAAACAGCTGTTTAATTGGGAAGGTACCGTTTAAGTATTAGATTATTATTAGATTATGACTATCGGAGGAGTATCCCCCTAATTAATCCGGGGTTGACATTACTGTATATGAGATATTTAGGAAAAGATACGCCAATAATTCTCAGTATATAAACGGTCAAACTGATACTACAATTCCTTATCTGTTTATTATTCTAATTTATGATGATGATTCGGGAGCAGATAAGCCAAGAATCGTCAAAACCCTATATGCAACCGTTGATTTTTATAGATGACTGTTATTCATCTCATGGGTTGAAATCCCCAAAGTGGCGCTGCAGCACCTCGATGCCGGTCCTCTATTGTCTATCTACTCTGCAGCACATTCACACAGATATGGAGTCATTTAGTTTGGGGATTCAAAAATTGCCACGTTTGATTACCGGAGGCTAATTGGGATGCAATGAGTTTCTTTTTAAATGGGATAGAAGTAACCGACCATCACAAATGATATGTGGGTCGGTGTGTCTGAAAATGGGTTATGGCCCCCCAATTTATGGCCTTGTTAAGAGAGAAATCGATGAGTAACTATCAAATTCTTGGGTAAGCTATTTTCAGACAAACCCATTATGGGAAGTAAATCCAGTTGACTCTTGTCATTTGTTACATGGCTATGGAAAAAAGAAACACCGTTTTACTAGGTGGTTCATTCATACTTAAATGGGTCATCTATACCATAGCTACTTGTATGTATATAGCTACGTAACAAATGACCAGAGGGTAAGTAATGTGGGTAAAACAAGAATAAACCATCCCCCAGTCATCACCATTTTTATACAGTAAGTGGCATGTTTACCATTCCCAGTCATGGGTGGTTTATGACATTGTTTTACTCACATTAGTTCACATTAAACCATGGATTTTATATGGGTGAAAATCAAGTCCCGTTAAACCATGGGTTATATGGGTTAAAACCCTATTAATACCTATTTATATATCCTATTAACATCTATTAACCACCATTAAAATCCCATGAATTTTGGGACCCACAGACTGTTGAGGCTCCCAGCGTCGCCCAGGTTAGGCCGCCCGCTGCGCAGTGTTTTTGCCTTTGTGGATCCTACACCCTTGGTGAGTTGGCCCAGAACGGGTGCCGCGCGCGGGCGCGTGGGATATGTGGGATATGCCTCAATCCTGAGCTATAAGTTATGTGTGTTTGTCCACCAAACTGGGTATCCCATTTTCAAAGCCAAAACATACTGATTTTTCCACTAAAAAGGGTACCCAAGATCCAGTGGTTTAAATGTGGCTCATAGTTCTACATAACCATGTTATATATATATATTATATATATATATATTGAAATCGCAATTCTGGGGCATGCCCCATTTCTGGACAAAGCATGACAGACCAATGTACCACACCATCCCGATCCATCCCTTAAAGCCTGGCTCGAGGACTTGGACCCATCTATTTGGTCGGTTGATTTTGGCGACCAATCATGGCTGATCCGCCTTTTGAATGTCAAATCCTTCAGAAAAGATGCTCATGGGATTTAGACATCCTATTTTTGTTGCTCCCAGTTGGGCACAGATCAAAATGGGAGACCCCCAAAAGTTGGAAGGAGCATACTGACTACATGATCATATGAATATCATACAGACTCACAATTTCATCTTCAGGTCAGATTTTTGGAATGCGCCGCCCCCAATTATCCCATGGCCGCGAATCAGACAGATGTCCGGCTCGAAGATCAGGAGAATCTCATCTTCCAGGTCCACTTTCCTATAGATTGATCAAACCTAGATCAGCCTAGATCCCATCGTTTATCGGAGTTTATCGTTTCATTTTCCCCAAGATGGTCTCGGAGAAACTTCCGCCCAAGCCAGGGGCAAAGCTTGTTCTGACCCATGGTGATTCTGAGCTATTGCTCTATCAAACCTTGCAAAGGCAGCAAGGAATTGTTGGCCAGGATGTGACCTTGTCATGTACCTTTTTGCCAACAAATGTGCTTTCTGCATGGTGTTTTGTTCAAGAATATTACACTTCTGAACAAGAGTTTGCCCTGGAGGGGATAACACGTTTGAAGGGTGTAGCAGGTGGCGAGTGTCTTTACAACGTTCCGAAGTGCCTCGAAAGCTTGACTTTTGCTTGGCACTTCAATCGTAGCCTGCAGGGTGTGAAGTGGCCAAGCAGCCTTAGGAACTTGACTCTTGGTGCCCACTTCAACTGGAGCTTGGAGGGCGTAGCCTTACCAAGCACTCTCCAAAGCTTGAGCTTTGGTGCTGCTTTCAACCAGAGCCTGGATCGTGTGACCTTACCAAGCAGTCTCCAGAGCTTGATCTTTGGCCGTGATTTTGATTCGAGCCTGGAGAATGTGAAATTGCCAAGCACTCTGCAACACTTGTGTTTGGGTCGTGAGTTTAATCGCAGCTTGGAACACGTCGCATTGCCAAATAGTTTGCACAGTTTGACATTTGGTCGTCATTTCAACCGCAGCTTGGAACGTGTAGCATTGCCAAGCGGTCTGCAAATTTTGACATTTAGCCATGATTTCAACTCAAGCCTGCAACGCGTGACATTACCAATGAGTTTGCGCAGCTTGACTCTTGGCCGTCATTTTAACTGCAGCTTAGAACATGTAGCATTGCCCAGTAGTCTGCAAAGTTTGACATTTGGTCGTCATTTCAATCGCAGCTTGGAACACGTAGCACTGCCAAGTGGTTTGCAAAGTTTGACATTTGGCCGTGATTTCAACTCGAGCCTAGAGAATGTGAAATTGCCAAGCACTCTGCAAAACCTGTTTTTTGGTTGTCATTTCAACTGCAGCTTAGAACATGTAGCATTGCCCAGTAGTCTGCAAAGTTTGACATTTGGTCGTCATTTCAATCGCAGCTTGGAACACGTAGCACTGCCAAGTGATTTGCAAAGCTTGGCGTGTTTTGATGCCTTCAACCAAAGCCTGGAATTCCTACCAAACTGTATTCGAAGATATTCGAAGGTTGACACTTGGGGGTAGGTTTAACCAGAGGCTTGAACGTTCGGTGTTACCAAGCACCCTTCAATATTTGGAATTTGGCAAAGAGTTCAACGGCTCTTTGGAGCGACTGACTTTGCCAGACAGTGTTCAAACCCTCATTTTTGGTTGTGACTTCAACCAGAGCCTCGACGATGTGATCTTCCCAAGCAATCTTCAAGCTTTGGCTTTCGGTCGTGATTTCGACCAGAGCCTGGAACATGTGAACCTGCCAAACAGCCTTCATGCATTGACGTTTGGTGATAATTTCAACCAGCGCCTTCAGAGCTTAACTTTTGGGAGGCGATTCAACCAGAGTCTCCAAGATGTGATTTTTCCAAGTACTCTTCAAGATTTGGCATTCGGCCATGATTTCAACCAGATCCTAGAAAGTATCAACTGGCCAAGCAGTCTTCAGAATTTGATTCTTGGCGACTGTTTCAATCAGAATCTGGAGCATGTGACATTCCCTTGCCATATCTTGCCATATTAAAAGCTTGACTTTGGGCAAAAGGTTCATGCCGAGCCTGGCAGCTGTCAGATTTCCAAGCAGCCTTGAGAGTTTGATCGTGCTGGATTCAGATATCACTATACCAAACAGGCCTGTGGCAAAGCAGCCAGCAAATTTGCGGCTGCCGCTGCCATTACCAAGCCATTCGCCCCGCCATTCAATCCCCCTCCCCCACCATTTCCAGTGCACCTACCTTTCGGACTTCCAGGAATCAGCGCGCCTCCACCATTTAAAGAACCGCAGCCTGTTCCAGGCGGTCTTCATACCTTCGTCAGACGAGTGTTGGTGAGCTGCAAGCAGGCGAGCGCTTGACAGTGCTTGCATTTGGCCCAAAAAAGGAGCAGGTGGTGCACGGAATCCAGGCTGGGAAAAATCGGACAAATCAACTGATTTTACAACATTGGAACCTCCAGTTTACCTGAAATTTGCCGGGTTTGCAGCTTTCCAAGAATGGGGTACAGCACCTCCCATTCCAAAGGACTGACTACTGCAGACTGTGCAAACACAACTGCCAAGGGGAAAAAACACCGCAGCGTACCGCAGCCATTCAAAGAACAAGGACTCATTGGTCCCTGTAAGTTCACCAAGCTTGTTGAAAAGATACAATTCACGGCGGGTATACGTTACTTGCGTAGGGGTTGTCCATTTCCCATACCCAATTTTGATCATAATTTCAGAACAGCGTGATATAATACCCACAGTCCGAAAACCAGAATTCATGAACTTTGGCACACCCCAAAAATCCATTTCGAAGGCAAGTGCCAAACCTTTCACTGCCCCTGAATCCATTTCGCCCGCACAAAAACAACCTCGAAAAAAGAGCAGCAAAGACATTCACAAAGATCCCGCAACCATCTACCAAATATTCCAACAGGATGATTACCCACATTTTTGATCAATGCGCCGCCTTGCTTCTGGGACGACAACATTAAACAGAGGCTGGCCCATTTGGTGGAAGGGGCAGACAGGGATTGAATGGAACTTGCGCATTGCATGTATCGTAAGTTTTTTTAAAATGCCATTGCATTCCTTCGATCTTGGAAATGTCTTTGTGACTTGTGCATGGACCTGTGCAAAGTGTTTGTGCCTCAGCGTAGTGTTGGCGAGGCAGAATGTGGAAGAATCTCTGTATGGCTGTGCGGAAAGCTGTTGTTACTTCCGCAATGCTGGCTCAAGCCTCAGCCCCAAGTTGATACCCTACCGGTAAACGCAGACTCACTCGGCGAGAATGATGCTGTGGGTTCTGCTGTGGCTGCAACCTTTCATTTCTATGTGCGAGGGATGTGTGTCCGAAACCTGTGGTGGGCCACCGCAACCTGCCGAAGCTTCGGATGCATTTGCTTCGATTCAAGTCATTGGGAAGCAGACAACCGAACAAGAACTCGACGACAAGGTTGTAGTCGAACACATCTACAAGCTTAATGAGGACGGCACAGTCACAATCATCTTCAAGTATGAGGATGGCACGGAGGAAGTGTTCGATGTTCTAGATCCCAATTCTCCAGGTCTTTTGCAAGAACAAAGGAGCCAAGAAGGCTTCCCGTGGAAGAAGATATTGAAGATCAAAAAGATCAAGGAAGCGCTGGACCGCCGACGCCAGGATCCCTCCACCACCACCACCACCACCACCACCACCACCAGCACCACCACCAGCACCTCCTCATGCAGAAGTGGGGACATCTCTTTCTCGTTCCTTAACGCCGAAGCCAACGATCCCGCTCAAGGCATAGTCACTGGTTGCATCAGTGGGCTATTGTGCAACAACAACGCTGCTCAAGCAACCTCGGTTCGAGTCCTCACGAATGAAGCTGGCTTCGGCCTTGGCGAGTATATTTCTGCTGACCAGAACGTTGCCACTAACACTTTCAATGTGAATGCTGGGTGTGAGATTGTGAAACCAACCAACTTCAACTCCGCCGGGAACCGCAGCTTGTCACTTAACTTCATTGGCACCCTTCCAGTTCCATGTGCTGGGCTGTCGAATTCTCTCTTTGTTTCAGTACGTTGCGAAACTGGCAGTGATCAAGTGAAATTCCAGTACATTTCTTGAGATTTCTTGAGGAAACTGCAGCACTAATTTCAAATTCTTTCAAATTTGAGAGGCCTACTAGAAAGCAACACAGCTTTGAAGCGCAGAAAAAACATGCAGAGCTGCTGATCCACCTGGCTTCTGATTTTGGACAGATTGTAGCCATTGATTTGAGCATTTCAACAGCATCATCCGGGGTCTACCAGTCTCTCCGTTGCGCCCTGGCAGGTGAACAGCAGCTGCGGATTTCAAGCAGAGACTGAAACAGTTGCAACCTGCCGGAAAAAAAAAGTGCCATCGAAAAAAAATAGGAATAGCAGGTCAAGAAGCAAAGTCGCAGCCACCAATCTCTCACTTCAATGCAATTTTTATGGAATTTAGTTCTAATATGTTCTAATATGTTATAATATATGTTATAATATATATATATATATGTAATTGTCATTTGATTTAGTGGGCGAGAATTCCAAGTAAACAGCAAGGAGACCGGGCGGGGTGCAGTGGGATCATGTTTGTCCTGGACACTACTCTTGATGCTGTTGAAGTCCTGCACGTCCGCGTTTTTTCGACCGATTTCGGAAGCTCGCGCACCACAAAACACATTGGCTTAGGTACGCGAATGACGTTTTAAGCGATGAAACGACCCAAACCAACACAGGTGGAGCATATGTTTCTCATTTTTTTCTCGCTATTGAAAGAACTGGAAGATCTTATCTGAAAAGTTTGTAGGATCGCCATGGATCGCTAAACCATGCTAAACCTCTACACCTTGCCGAAAAAAAGGGGGCAGCGACTGTTGATTATCAGGTAGGTGCCGGGGGTTCGGTGCGAAATGTCTGTGACAGGGACTTGCAACCATGGCATTGGCGTCTTTCTGCCTTTGGATCAAGGTATCTGCAAATCCAGCCTTTGGATTTGCGAACCAGTTCGGAAAAAAATCGGAAAGCGTGCCAGTATGTGACATGCATTGGCACCATGTTGTTTTTCGATGGCGCGGGAATTGTGGGAAGTGGTGAGACGGCGCTGGAAGCAGCATGTGCTGGATGCCATAGGATATAGTGCGTATGAGTTGATTGGAGGTAACAGTAGTGTAGAGTGTATTGTATGCAACACAATGGTGATCTATAATTTGAGTAGATGTGACCGTGACGCTGCTATTTGCCAATCTTGTTCTTGCTGGTGTTCTTGTTGTGCTTCTGGTTGTTCTTGTTTCTGTTCTTGTTGTCTTAGAGGTTGTTGTGCTGTTGAGGTTGTTGATGTTGTTGGTGCTGTTCTTTGCGGTGCGTCTCGCAACATGCTAGTATGTTGCGTTTGTTGCTTTGTTGCTCGTACAGTACTGTCTTAATGTCGTTGTGAGTGCATGAACTCTTAACCAAGTGGATGCAGCGGCCAAACATTCGTCAAACCGGGCCCCCGCACTCACCTACACCGTCCTCCCCTACTCCCCCCTTTTCTAGAGGAGGAAAACTAATATAGCCAAACGCACGTGAAAACTTATTTGTTGCAGCTACTGTTGGGCTTTGGGTCTATGTTCACTTTATTTTGGGTCTATGTTGGCCCATCTTGGGACTATGTTGGGACTAGGTTGGGTTTTGTTGAGTTGTCTTGGGCCTATGCTGGGTTTTGTTGGGTTGTCTTTGGCCCATCTTGGGACTATGTTGCCCCCCCCGGAGTTGCTTTGGGCCTATGTTCACTTTATTTTAGGTTTATGTTGGACCATCTTGGGACTATGTTGGGACTATGATGTTGGGTTTTGTTGGGTCGTCTTGGGCCTATGTTGGCCCATCTTGGGACTCTGTTGGGCGTTCCTGGGTTCTATGTTGAGCCATCTTGGCTCTGTGTTGGCCTATCTTGGGGCTATGTTGCACCGTCTTGGGGCTATGTAGAAGGAAGAAAAGACAAAGTGCAAAAGTTGTATGAAAACATGTTTGCAAGCGAGTTTTTCACGGTATTTGCAATGTTTTTTACACATAGCACGTTTTAGGTCCGCCTCCCTCGAAACAACAAAAACGACAAAATTTGGCTCGCGTAAAACGCACTTTTTGCAGCAACTTGACTCCTTGTAATTCTCCCCAAAGAGCAGTTTTTACTGTAATTTACAGTGTTTTTTGCACCTCCTCAACACCCATTTGGGAACCCCAAAATCTGCAAATCTGTGCCGCCCCCCCCCACCCCCTCCTTTTCACCTACCGGCAAACTTCCAAGCGTTTGAAACGCTTTCCGTCAATGTTCTGTTTGTTGCTTTAGTGCTCGTACTGTGAGTGCATGAACTCTGAACCAAGTGGATGCAGCGGCCAAACATTCGTCAAACCGGGCCCCCGCACTCACCTACACCGTCCTCCCCTACTCCCCCCTTTTCTAGAGGAGGAAAACTAATATAGCCAAACGCACGTGAAAACTTATTTGTTGCAGCTACTGTGCTACTGTTGGGTTGCTTTGGACCTACGTTCACTTTCTTTTGGGTTTATGTTTGAACTCTGACACTCGTCAAACCGGGCCCCCGCACTCACCTAAACCGTCCTCCCCCACTCCCCCCTTTTCTACAGGAGGAAAACTAATATAGCCAAACGCACGTGAAAACTTATTTGTTGCAGCTACTGTGCTACTGTTGGGTTGCTTTGGACCTACGTTCACTTTATTTTGGGTTTATGTTGGCCCATCTTGGGACTATGTTGGTGCCAATCTTGTTCTTGCTGGTGTTCTTGTTGTGCTTCTGGTTGTTCTTGTTTCTGTTCTCGTTGTCTTAGAGGTTGCTGTGCTGTTGAGGTTGTTGATGTTGTTGGTGCTGTTCTTTGCGGTGCGTCTCGCAATATGCTAGTATGTTCCGTTTGTTGCTTTAGTGCTCGTACTGTGAGTGCATGAACTCTGAACCAAGTGGATGCAGCGGCCAAACATTCGTCAAACCGGGCCCCCGCACTCACCTACACCGTCCTCCCCTACTCCCCCCTTTTCTAGAGGAGGAAAACTAATATAGCCAAACGCACGTGAAAACTTATTTGTTGCAGCTACTGTTGGGTTGCTTTGGGTCTATGTTCACTTTATTTTGGGTCTATGTTGGCCCATCTTGGGACTATGTTGGGACTAGGTTGGGTTTTGTTGAGTTGTCTTGGGCCTATGCTGGGTTTTGTTGGGTTGTCTTTGGCCTATCTTGGGACTATGTTGCATGTTGCCTCCCCGGGGTTGCTTCGGGCCTATGTTCACTTTATTTCAGGTTTATGTTGGACCATCTTGGGACTATGTTGGGACTATGTTGGGGTTTGTTGGGTCGTCTTGGGCCTATGTTGGCCCATCTTGGGACTATGTTGGGCGTTCCTGGGTTCTATGTTGGGCCATCTTGGCTCTGTGTTGGCCTATCTTGGGGATTCTTGGGGCTATGTTGCGCCGTCTTGGGACTATGTAGAACGAAGAAAGGACATCAAAGTGCAAAAGTTGTATGAAACCATGTTTCCAAGCCAGTTTTCCACGGTATTTGCAATGTTTTTTACACATAGCACGTTTTAGGTCCACCTCCCTCGAAACAACAAAAACAACAAAATTTGGCTCGCGTAAAACACACTTTTTGCAGCAACTTGACTCCTTGTAATTCTCCCCCGAAGAGCAGTTTTTACTGTAATTTACAGTGTTTTTTGCACCTCCTCAACACCCATTTGGAACCCCAAAATCTGCAAATTTGTACCGCTCCCCCCAACACCCCCCCCTTTTCACCTACCGGAAAAACTTCCAAGCGTTGGAAACGCTTTCCGTCAACTGTGGAACAGTTACAACATTTTGACTCCAAAGCCTACTGCTTTGTCATGTGTGGCTTAGGTTTCCGGTGATTTGACTTACCATTGGCCGATTGCTGGAAACTACAGCCGACACTTGGAAGACAACATGAACTCGGATGTCGTGAGCTCTCCATGGGCGGCTTGTGCACACGAGGGCTGGATCTCATGACACATGGCACAGAAATGGGTGCAGTACCACAATTGTACAGATGTAAGTTGTAGATGTATCTTTTTATATGTTTATGTGCACTAACATATTGTATATTAATATACGTATATCTGGGTTCTGAAACATCGTGTCAATGTACCACAGAAGGATGCTCTTTACAACCACTCTTAGTCCGGTCACCGCCAATTTTGTGCAGCTCCCAACAGCTACCATTCATGTTTTAGCATCACACCAATCAGGTGATCCCAGTGATCCTCGCCCTGACAAATCATTCTGACATAGTTTCCGACATATTGTAAAGATAGATTATAGAATGGTGAAATATCATTCTGTACATAGATAAATGTAGATAGATTGTAGAATGGTGAAGTATCATTCTGTACATAGATAGATGTAGATAGATTATAGAATGGTGAATTATCATTCTGTTCATAGGTGGATTTAGATAGATTGTAGAATGGTGAAGTATCATTCTGTACATAGATAGATGTAGATAGGTTACAGATGGGTGAAATATCATTCTGTACCTAGATAAATGTAGATAGATTGTAGAATGGTGAATTATCATTTTGTACATAGATAAATGTAGATAGATTGTATAATGGTGAATTATCATTCTGTATATAGATAAATGTAGATAGATTGTAGAATGGTGAATTATCATTCTGTATATAGATAAATATAGATAGATTGTAGAATGGTGAGTTATCATTCTGTACATAGATAAATGTAGATAGATTGTAGAATGGTGAAGTATCATTCTGTTCATAGATAAATGTAGATAGATTGTAGAATGGTGAATTATCATTCTGTTCATAGATAGATGTAGATAGATTGTAGATAGGTGAGTTATCATTTTGTACATAGATATATGTAGATAGATTATAGAATGGTGAATTATCATTCTGTTCATAGATAGATGCAGATAGATTATAGAATGGCGAATGATCATTCTGTTCATAGATAGATGTAGATAGCTTATAGAATGGTGAATTATCATTCTGTTCATAGGTGGATTTAGATAGATTGTAGAATGGTGAATTATCATTCTGTACATAGATAAATGTAGGTAGATTGTAGAATGGTGAATTATCATTCTGTACGTAGATAAATGTAGATAGATTGTAGAGTGGTGAATCATCATTCTGTACATAGATAAATGTAGATAGGT